ATTCTAACTTTCTTATTTGTAAAGAACATTACTTTTGTCTTCTCAATTGAAAATTTAAAACCCCACTCAATTCCCCACTTACCTACTATATCTATACCTTCCTGAAGTTTTAAAATAAGATGTTCTATATTTCTTCCCCTTTTCCATAATGCTCCATCATCAGCAAATAGTGATTTCCCAAAACTAACTGGTATTTCATTAAAAATATCATTTATCATCACCGAGAATAATGTTGGACTTATCACACTTCCTTGAGGAGTTCCATTTTCTATTTGACACGATTTTGAAACATGAGAACCTATTTTAACTTGGATATTTCTATCACATAAAAAATCCCATATCCAGTTAAACATACTCCCTCCTATTCCTATCTGGTGTAGTTTAATCATTAATCCTTCTCTCCATAACATGTCATATGCTTTTTCCACATCAAAAAATACAGCCACAGCAGTTTCCTTATTAATTTGAGCTTTTCTAATATCATCTTCTAAACACAATACTGGATCCATTGTTCCTCTCCCTCTACGAAAGCCACTCTGATACGGAGCAATTATATTCCTTGATTCCAAATACTGTACTAACCTCTCATTCACCATCCTTTCCATCAGCTTACATATATTAGATGTTAAAGCAATCGGCCTATAGTTTTCAGGATTACTATGATCTTTCCCAGGTTTCTTTATCGGAATAACAACCGCTTCTTTCCATTCACTAGGTATTCTTCCCTCTTTCCAAATCTTATTATACAAATTTAATATCTTCTTCAAAACATCATCACTCACATGTCTTAGCATAATATAGCATACTTCATCTTTACCTGGAGCACTATTTCTTGTTCTACCCAAAGCTCTTTTCAATTCTCCAATAGAGAAATGTTCGTTCATCAATTCATCCTTAATAATTTCCTTTCTTCTTAAAATTCCACCATTTTCTCTTTTAGTTTTCTCTCTCCCCTTTATTTCTTTATCTGATCATTTTTTCCCACTATGAATCTCCATAAATGTGCTTACTAAAATATCAGCTTTTTCCCTGTCATTTATTGCTATTATACTGTTTCTATTTAATATTGGATAACTCCATTCTCTTCTATCTCCCCCCATTTTTTTGATCATTCCCCAAACTTCCCCAATCTTTGTACTATTACCAATTTTGTCACAAAAATTTCTCCAATATATCCTTTTTGCTGTTCTTATTGTTTTCTTTGGAGAAATTGTGATATCATTAATCAATTATTTGTTATTCTCATTGATCTTTATAATGTATCTTTGATTGATGCTTTCCTTAATGTTAATCTCATTATAGAATTAAGAATGTTTTTTGTATTGTTGATTTACTCTGATTCCTTTCTCAGAAGGCCTCACTGACAGAGAGCAGAAACAAAATCTTCCTGCAGGTTTACCTCTTGGTGAAGAGCTCTGCTTCGGTTGAGTTGCTGGCCTCCAATAAAACCATCATTGCTAAGATCACTACATATTTTATTAATCTTTGTGCCTGGAAGGACATTATCTAGTACAGAATGATTGTGTGTTAGTTAGTGAATAACATTTGACGCTGTAGCTGTTTGCCCCCTCCCTTTAGAGCTACAGCGTCCTTGTGATTAGGGATCCTAGAAACAATAAAATAGAGGAGCAGACAAAATGTGCTTCAGAGCGGTAGGAGATTGTAACTGAAGCACATCTCTGTCCGTTCTCCTCGCGAGTGAAAAAGAATCTAACTCTTTTGTCTTTTCTGTCTTTGTTAATGTATGTTTAACAGGTGTTAACCCTAACATTTTCCTTACTTTAGCCTGTGATTTTTATATTCGATCAAATGTTGAAAATTATGAGACTTTTTAACCAGTTTAAATGCTTTATTTCTTTCTTTGACCACTGTTCTACACTCTTCATTCCACCATGGAACTAATTTCCTCCTATTCTTCCCTGATGTTTTTGGAATAGACCTTTCAGCAGCTTCTAATATACCCTGACTAATCTCACGACTCATATTTTCTATACTCAAATCATTTTTTATATTTGATATCTTACTCTCACATAAGTTATTAAATTTTTCCCAATTTGCTTTCCTAAATATCCACTTCCCTCCTAACATTTCAAGATTCTGCACCTGACCCATCCTTATTTTACTGACTATAATGTAATGATCACTACCAAAGGATTTATTTTCAACTTGCCAATCACATAATGGAGCTAAACAACTGGAAACAAATGTTAAATCCACTACAGATTCCTTACCTGAATTAATATCAATTCTTGTCTTTTCACCATTATTCAAACATACAAGATTATTACTATCTAGAAATTCCTCTAAAACCTTACCATTATAATCAACTTTTGTGCTTCCCCATAAGGAGTGATGAGCAGTAAAATCTCCACATCAAATGATATTTCCTTTCATACCCATCTCATCAAGTTTACTTATTTCAAGCTTTTTACAGGGATTATAAAAATTTATAATCGAAATTACCTTCTTTTCTATCCATATTTCAATTTCTACATACTCCAATTCCCCTTTCTTTTCAACTATTTTATAAGGAATACCTTCCTTAATCAGAGAAAGACACCCTCCCCCATTTCCTTCTTTTCTATCATACCTTACTACAATATATCCGTTCACTCTGAAATCCAAAAAAGGCTTCAGCCATGTTTCTTGTATACAAACTATATCAGGTTTAACTTTCTGCTCATAAATAAACTGTTTAAAATCTTGACCGTTTGACAATAGACTCCTTGCATTCCATTGTAAGATTAAAATTATCCTTCCTGACTCGTTTGACTACATAGTTCTCCTCTTATATCTTCCCATCTAATATTTCTCAACCCTAAACTATGGCATGCCGCCTTAACAATAATCTGAATCCTTTCTGTCTTTGATCTCACATCTGAGGTTGCATTTATCACTCCTGCAATAAACGTCACCATTTTCTTTTTCTCCTCCTCTATTATCCTATCAACCCTTTCCATAACCTTTTGGATTATAGATTTTTCCCCTGTCAATGATTTTCCATTTTGTTCTTCTTTCCCAACTATTTTACATGCTTCCGCATATGTTACTTTCTGCACAATCTTTGTTTTCTGTATAACTACTTGCTGTTTCATCACTTCACATCCCCAAAAAGCAACACTATGTTCACCTCCACAACTACAGCACTTTGGCTTTACTCCAATTCCACATTTTCCATATACATGATCTCCAGAACAACGGGCACATCTCCTTTTTCCTTTACACATTTTAGCAACATGTCCAAACTCTTGACAATTGAAACATCTTACTGGTTTAGGCACAAACTCCCTGACACTAAATCTTATCAAACCAAAGAAAACCTCCTTTGGTACCTCTTTCGTTTCAAACTCCACTAGGACAGTTTCTGTTTCAACTTTCTCTGGACCTTTTGTCATTCTTTGTGCTCCCTTTACTTCCCTATTTCTTTCTTTTAAATGTCCAACCAAATCTTTCATATTTACACTGAACGGCACTCCAGTGATAACTCCTTTACTTCCAATATTTCTTTTTTCTCCTACTCTAACGACTATTCTAACTTTTACTTTACATACCCATCCTAATTTCTTCGCTTTTACCACCTGATCTTCCGAATTACACCCCATCAACAGATTTCCGTCTCTCAAAACTTTAGCATGTTTAATATCTCCAATATGCGCTTTAAGTGCTTTTGTTAATTTCAGTGGATCCATCTTCTTAACCCCTTCTTCTTCATCAAATCTTATAATAATGTTCATATTCGGGCTTTTTGATTCTTCTACTTTTTCCTCAGATCCTTCACTCTCAGTGTCTTCCGTACTTTCCTCATTTCGCTTTTTCCTCTTCCTTTCAGCAGCCCCTCAAATTAACTTCCTGGTTCTTAGCCAATGAAAAGACATAAAAACTTTGTTGCAAAGTTTACGTAAAAACTATATTTTTTTACACTAAAATAATAAACACCTTATGCGTAAGTGTAATCAATTAGTTATGTATGTGTTTTTTTAAAGCGTACATGCAAAAAAATAAAAAATCCGTTTCACTTTTTTTCCTCCAAAATTTCAAAGATTATGGTGAAGTAAAGATAGATGCTCTTCTTGAGCAACTCATTTTACACTCTTATCCCATATTCTTTGAGTTCAGTTCTCCTCACCAATGACAAATTAAAATTGTGTTTCTGAGTAAAAATAGGATTACACTTGCACAAGAATAAAATCACTAAAATATTTATTTTTAGTGTTGTTTATGTTTGATACATTATGGTATTTTGACCTTGAGAAAAAGTTTTAGTAATCACCAGTAAACTTTATTTATATTTGAAGATTACCATACTTATAGTCAGCTAATAGGTCTATTAAGTCGTTCTAGTAGAAAACTCCAAAGGCAAGAAGTAACAAAAATAATTTTGTTTTATTTTATTTTCTTCTTTTTAGCAATTCATTTATCACTTCTGTTTTTTTTTTATTATTGTTTAGATATTTTTGTCTGTTTAATCAGTCCATATAGTATGAAAATATATTTGCATTCAATCCACTTTGTCAGGCAGAAAGACGAAAGCGGAAGTATGCAGTATTCAACATCTCGACTGCTTCCGGATATTTGAACCAACCGCCTAAATTCAAAACGCATTTCGGCCGTACGGGGTTTGCAGTAATGGAAAAGAAAGAAAAGTCTATTGGACGTCTTCAAAAAAACAAAAACGAGACGTTTGAGATATCTACTATAAATTCTAGCGCAGTGGAAGAAAAACTCTTCGGCCGAGCGGATAAAGAAGGAGAGGAAAACGATGACGGGCCCGTGGTTTTCATCTGCGGAAAGTGCAGGCTGCCTGTTGGAGATTCAATGTCCTGGGATGGAAGTGAAGACGACCAGAACCAAATAAAAACTAAAGCGTGAGTATGACCTCTTCCTGTGTGCATACTTTCCCCATTATGTCTATCCATTGGTATGTGGGTTTGTACATCAACCAACTATCCGTTCATCCCATCCATTCATCCATCCATCATCTTCTTTCTTACAGTCTTTGCAGGTTCTAGTGTAACCTGGTTGAATGTCTCTTTTTTGGGGGGTTATTTGTATGGGTTCCTACCTGACTGTTATTGTTTTAACTGTGTTACTTTAAGAACGGGCAGCCTGTAACACGGTTCTTTTCTATTTGTTATGCTTGTCAGAGTAAATCAAGGAATTATCCTTTTAAAGGCGAACCACGGCCTGATCATTTAAAACAAGCACAACGCAGATCGGATCCGGTTACACTAGGATTAAAGCCTGCCCACTGCAGATATATTTGTCACAATTCAATAGTGAGCTTGCATTTATAATTTAAAAATGAAATTGTATATATATATATATATATATATATATATATATATATATATATATATAGAGAGAGAGAGAGAGAGAGAGAGATAGAGAGAGAGAGAGACAGAGAGAGAGAGAGAGAGAGAGAGAGAGAGAGAAAAATACCAGGGCCTCAGGGAAGAACTGGAGAGGGCCTGGAAGGTGAAGACCACAGTGGTGCCTGTGGTCATCGGGGCCCTCGGGGCAGTAACCCCCAAACTGGAGCAGTGGCTACAACAGATCCCAGGAACAACATCAGACATCTCAGTCCAGAAATGTGAAGTCCTTGGCACAGCCAAGATACTGCGCAGAACCCTCAAGCTCCCAGGCCTCTGGTAGAGGACCCGAGCTCACAGGATAAGAACCACCCGCGGTGGTTCTGTATATATATAAATATACAGTTCAGGGTTAAATATACTGATCTGGCCGCTGGCAGGCTTGTGTCTTGGCTGTGCAAAAGTACTATGTTACTTTATTCTCCAAAGCACCATGCTGACTTGTTTGTTGTTACCATTACAGGGGTCACCAACAACGTTATCATTGGAAAGGACACTCGCTTCTTTGAACTGAAGAAACGATCAGTTTGGTGAGAAGGGTAACACTCTGTACTTTAGCAGTTAATAATGTAACCATTTTCTAGGTTATTAGACTTATCTGCTCATTTTTAAAATTACCGCTGTGTTGCAAACTCTGACATTTGACATTCTAATACTGAAAGCTGATAATACAACATAATGGTCTACTATTACAAGCTATTTATGGTGCTGTGGTTGGGTTGTGACTGGATAACAAAAATTTAACGCTTTACTATTTTTTATTTCATGAACTGAAACTCAACAGCCTGGTTGTGGATCTCATCTGTCGCAGCTGCCACTCGGTGCTTGGCATGGTCTACACATCTACGCCCAGGAACCTGGACCACAAGAGGTCCACTTTCTGTCTCAATGTAGCCAGCATCGACAGGTGCTTTCATTTCTAGTTCACCATTACGATCTGAAATTTAGCAGTGTTCAAAATCTAATTCATTCAAACTGAACCAAACAACATGAAGGTGCATGGTGCATGCCTGGTGCATGATTAGGTTATCGTAAACTGTCGACTAATCAGTCTGGTAACCTCAAACTATCTGAAGGATTTAATTTCCTCTCCATTTAAAGTACTCTATTTACAAAAAAAAATGAAGCAAGAAGATTTCTGTGTATTTCTCAAGAAAATAATTTATAAAGGATCAGCTCTAAGGTGAACACTTCAATTATTGAGTAAAAGTGGGAACTCGTAATTGCTTTAATCAAAAATTGTATTTCTTAATAATTACACTGAGATTTACTTACTAACACAAATAAACACAATAAACAGTCCTGCTTTTCATTATTGACAGATGAACACAAACACTTTTTCAAATTATTACCAGATTTTAATTCTGTTCATCCATATTCTTGCTAGTTTATGCTAATAAATTATGCTGTGGTGTTTGATATTTTCTCTAAGGTGTTTTTTTTAACTCACAGCCTTGTTTTCAGTGACCTCAAATGTGTGGCATTATTTACTTCTAAGATGTTAATATTGGTTGTGCAGCATTTATTAGACTAAGAATCCTCACATTGACACTAATGTTTAAATTTTAGACAATGAAATTAGTTTTGTAAAATAACTTCATTGTTATTGATCATATGTCAATTTTACATTTTATTGAAGCCATGTGAGTGATGTGAATGGGTAATGTATCCAGATAACTTAATACCCCGTGTGTTTTTCAGCTATGTGCTCGGGTCTGAAGGCCAGATGTTGGCAGCAGAGGGCCCCAAAGAGCAGCTGGTAACACTGGAGTACAGGCACATTGTTGAACAGTTGTCAGAGGTAAATTATTGCTTCTGCTTCTCTTTGTCTGCCTTCCTTCATGTAGTACTATCAGGATGTAAAAATTGTGAAATTAGCACTCTGTCTTCCCTTAAAGCTTATTGTTATGATTAACATCTATACATTTGTATCAGATTGCATTGTTATTAGTTGTAAAATTATTGCGCTGTCTGATAAATTAAAAATAAATATCTATTTGATATTGAAGTGAAAAATAGAAATCTGACCAGCAGGTTAAAGCAGTTTTAGCTGGAGTCGTTAAGTGTGGAGTCGTATTCTTCTCCCGATGAAGCTTTCTAGACGCACAGGTTGTATCACACCATGAGGATGACATCAGCTTTGTTCCGGTAACCCATTCCCCCATTGTGGGCAGACTCCGATATCAGACATTACCTCATCTGCCAACCTGTGTCACCTTCCAAAAAACACTTTCATTTTTTACCTCCCAAGTTATTTTCTTCACTCAAAGGATTAAAGTTCTGGATCTTTTCTTAATTTTAATCTTCCAAATCACTTCTATTTGAAGTTGTCTGTTTATTTTAGCTCTAATGATCTTGTATGTTTTATTGTCCTGCTTGCATTTTATTTTCTTCTACATGTTCTTTGATTGTGTGTTGGTTTTCTGAATTAATGCAAATCACCCTTTGTTTAAGAAATTTCCTCCTAAAAAACAGCAGAAGCATCAATTGTCCAGAAGGTGGTGATAGTGTTCAGGCGTACCTGCCAGCCCTCCCACATTCTAGCACTCTGAGCACAATAGCTAGAGAGCATGTTGAGGAATCTTTGTTGAAGGGTCACAGGTTTTTCTGATGAACTGTTTTTGTTGTTTAAACTCAATGAATGTCTGGCACAGTACTGCGCTTATCTCACCCCTTTGAACATCCCACACTTGGCAGTTGGCTCATTGTACAGTGGGATTTTATTGTTTATGCACGTGAACTGAAAACAGGTCACGTTGCCCTAAAGACAAATGAATTTGTTCCAACAGATCATTGAAAGTGTCTTTATATGCACACAGACACTGTAATTGAACATCATGCCAACTTTCTGTCTTTCACGTGAGAAATTCTCACTTTTAATTAGAGTTTCTTTTTTGCGAAAACAAGAACATTGAATCCTGAAAAGTTAATGTCACACACTGAAATCTTTGCCATAAAAACAAAGGGTGCATTTAGTACACTGTAATTAAATATGAGAGGTTAAAATTTAGATTAAATCTACAATTGAGCCTGTTGTTGACATATAGGCTGGTGATTCTGACTGTGAGTGGAAAGCGGTTGCATTATTTGAAGAGTTTTATTAATTAGTTGTTTTTATTATCATTAATTGTTGATACTTTAAAATATCTACTGGAATAAGTCTAGCATTAAGAATGTGTGGCATTATTTGGAATGTACAAATATAACCAAAACATTAAGAGTTTTTTTTTACTTTAACTTTATATAGTGAGCTTTCCACTCAAGGTGTCATATCATGGGGAGACAACCAAAAATTAATGTAAGAAAATGATCATTTAAGGTTATTCAGTGCAGCATTGACTACATACTTAGGTATTTTGTAAGTAATGTATTTATTTCAGCTTTTTTTTATGTGCCAAATGATCTGTCAGTTCTTCTTTCAAGTACAATTTAAGATTTTTTAGAATAAAACTGAAACTTAAAAGGGGCACTTGTTAGCTTTTTTTAAGCTACACAAGAGTTTGAAAAATTAACCATTAATGCTTTATTTTTGTAGTACCAGTTCATAATGCATGTCTTCTCAGTGAGAAATGGGCCTAATTCATATCCAGTGGCATGATTTCCAAATTGGTCCAAATCAAAATGATCTAATTCACTCCAACAAAATCCAATGAGATTGTCATGTGTTGTTTTGATTCAGTTGCAGTTCTGATGAAATACAGCCACAGTCAGTTAGTCATACCTTTCCAATGAATTAAAACAGTTTTCCATTTAAGACTAATTGCATGCAGTCATTAACTTTGCAAGAATTCCTCATTCTCATTCCTGAAACATGTGGTAAGAATAGAGATGAATCAGACTGAGTAGCATAAGCAAAATTATATGAAGGGGATGAGCACTATGAGAGAAGCACTGACCCATGAATACTTTCTACTGAGTGGAAAATAGCAAGTACTTTAGTTTCCAGCTCAGCCCTATCAGTGGTTCTCTATACCAAAGAAGAGATAGAAACTGTCTGAGCCAGAAATACTTTGGACTGCTCCTTCCCCTTTATATCTTAAATTACCAAAAAAGTTTAACTCCCAATTTATTTTCAAAGTAAAATATAGGTAAGTTCTTGAATCTTTAAGCTAGTGTAAATATCAGCACAGATTTGGTCTGTTCTCTATCTGATATTTGTTGCCTTTTCTGCTGTAGTTATTAGGCTCACTCCATCTTTTAAATTAGTTTTTCTTCTGCTGTTCTCGCTGACCTGTTTCCCCACCCTTCTCCTACTCACCCATCCCCTCCTCTTTGTCTCTGGCACCTTTGTCTAATTATTTCTTCTCCTCCCTTCTCTCTGCTCTCTTCATTTCCCCACCTGTCCAGTTTCCCTCTTCGTTTGTTGCCCCGCTGTGACTACTTCCATCTTCTCTTTCTTAATTTGTTTCACCACCCTCTCTTTTGCTGTTCTTCCTGAGATTGCAAACAACATAAAATGTCCATCTTTCTCCGTGAGATTGCAAACAACATAAAATGTCCATCTTTCTCCATTCTCGATGTTTCCAGATGAAAATGCTCGTTGTGTCCATGGCACAGCAGCTGGAGGAGATCGCAGCTGGCCTTAAGAAGGGATGCAGTGAGGCTTGACGATGATGGGCGTCAAGTCATCTCTGATGCTGTTTATTTCCAGGTGTTGCAAAATACAAATTTTATTGTCTCAACTTGTGCACCTGTTTATGTGCAAATGCCTCCAGCTCTGAAGTTTAATATCAGCCACTTTTTTTTTTTTTGTCTCCAGGAGAACATTTTGTCCCAGTTACACCTTGTTCACATGAACGTAAAGCTGCACACACATACTCACACCGTCTACTGGGCTTTGTCCTAAAAACCAGCGGTGAAACAAAGACTGCCTACTCTTGTAATCAATCATCTTGCCACCTCGGCTCCTTGCGGCTCGCAGCGTCTGCTCTGTGGGTCCGGTGCAGAATAAATGTGTGCCATGAGCAGAATGTTTATTTGTGCAGGATGTCATCAGTCGGGCTGCACACTCAGCACAATGAGGTATTGATCTGACTACTTGAGGCCACACACTCTTCGTCTCCTCTTTGTTCTGCTTCTCGAGTGTGTAGCATTTTTAGGTTTGCAGATTTACCAATGGTGTATTGTTTGTCATTAAAGCAGAAAGTGTTCATAATAAAATGATTTGTATAACACCTTTTTCATTTGTTGCATTGTCTCATTGTTGTTTTTAAGCTTCTTTGGTTGTGCAGCTGTTCTTGTGTGATAAAAGTTTTGCTGAACTTCAAGTGACAAACCAAACCATTGAAATAATCTTTTCAACTGCTTCCTCTTGTTTTGCCCTAGTGTTTGTAAAGGATCAACGGGCTCATCCTGCTTTGTTTCTCTTGGATTTAGGGGCTAAATGACAAGTTTCTTCAGGGGTCGCTGGTGGCTAGGATGATTAATTTATTAATGCCTCTGTTTGTTTACTGGCTGACCTCTAATGTGCATGGCAACACTTTCTCCCAGAGCAGGAAAGCGGCTCCACGCGGCTCCGCTTCGCCCTCCCTCATCCACGAGGTTTCATCAGCCTCGCACAACAACAACAGCTAGAAACGGCCAACCAGCATGCTGTATCCAAGGGCAGGTTGCGATGGCAACTGAGAGCACGTGCTACGCTGGGTGTCTGTTGCCATCTCGTCACCGCATCCGCTGCCAGAGGAGCAGCCAGCCAGCTCGCCGGCCAACACGCCTGTCAATAGGCGTTGCTGCTCCCCCTCCCTTTTTTTCATGTGCAAAACACATATGAAGAGGGAGGAATCCTGAATGACCCCCACCCTCCTCCCACCCACCTAACACTAATCCTTGTGTGATGTTTTTCTCCTGCTTTGACTCCACCCTTGTCTCTTTCTTCTTCCCCTCCCTCCAGTTCTCCCCACCCTCCACTGTTGTGGGGTGTGGAGGGGAGGGGGATGCACGAATCAAAACAACAACAAACAAACCGTGTGGTGGTTGTTTTTGTTGTTTCTGGTGATGGTGTAAAGATGAGCCCAGGTATGCCATGAGCATACCTGGGCTGACTTCGCTCCTGCCAGTCGGAATCTTGTCAGGAGTCCAAATGTGTGCTGTTTCCCCCCCCCTTAAAAAAAAATAAAAAAACTTACATATATCCCGTTTTTTTTTAAATTCAGAAAATAAGTCTCAAAAAACTAGAGCTCATTTAGGTGTTTTATATATAGACATGGTGTTGCTGGATGCATTGCACAGTTGGGTGCAATTATTGCACTGGCTTCACCTTATTCACCCCTGACATCTCAACCAATCACTGCCACCCAAACCAAGATAGAAACACACACATCAGTCAGTCAGTGCATTCACACACGCTCTACCAGCACACAGGGACAAAGGATGAATAATGCAGAGGTACCGTCTGAGTGAAAGTCGCCTCCCCTCTTTCCCTCCTTTTCACCTTCCCTAAGCAATAAGGAAGCAATGTTGCCATGGAGGCAATGAAGCCTTGGTGCACTGGCAACCAATTACATCTCTTCCTGTGTGAAACAGCCGACCAATGGCCAACCCAGACTGGTGCTGCTGCTGCCACAGACACTGAGATCCGATTGGTTCTCTGCTGCTCTTTGATTGAATTTCAGAGCTTGTTTTTGAGGGGAAAAAACATATGAAGGAGTGCCACCTGTGTGTTACCAAGTTAGGATATGCTGAATTTTCACACACGTTTATACTGCCGGCTGTGGAGAATTTTTTATTTTTATTTTATCAGCAAAAGAAATCTAATCTAATGGTGGAGAGTAATTGAGCGGTATATGTTTGGGGTTTGTCAGCATTGTTTATAATGTCAAAAATGCCCGTTTGTATCTCCCAGGTTGACAGTTTTATATTTAAATTTCTTCTGATGAAGTACTGTGGCTCACTGGGCTCCGGTTGATTTATGACCCGTTCCTGAGTTAACTGTTGGTTTTGCCACGGCCAGTATAAACCATGTCAATTCAGGGAATAATGTCAGATACACACTGGTTACAAGAAAATTGTGAACACTTTTAAGTTTCTTCTAGTCAAATCTCCTATAATGTTTTGAAATGTATAGAATCTCATTTAAATTTTTTGATGGATAAGTTGCAAACAATTGTAGATAGATTTTGTGGAGTGAGCAAAAGAGTTGAGTAAAATCTAGGAAAACTTCTGTTTTCTCAGTTCCTCTTATTTCTTTTCTCATTTTTGTTCATTTTACCAATATCATTCCATCCACCTATTTTTTATCAGTCCCCATCTGTTTATCTATTCATCCATACATCCACTATCTGTCTCTCCATATTTATTTCTATCTGTTTTTATTTCATCCCTTCCCTAATTTTAGGTCTAGTTTAAAACATGTCATAATTTAATCAATACATAATCTAAAAATAAAACAGATATTTTAATATGCAGTATCAAGTTTCAGGGGAAACCATTTTAATTATATTTTACTGAAAGTTCATATATTTAAAGTGATTTTTACCCTATGTATTAAAAAAAAACATATTCATATTATAGGTAGCAAGACCTATAATATGAACTGTTGTTGAACAGTTTTTTGTGGGTTTCCTTTTGTATTTTGATGGTTTCACTTTTAAGACCAACTTCAAATCTGTGAATCTGGAAGGCTTCCATGCCATCACCCTAATGTTCTGCTCTCTCCACAGATTTTCAATCAGAGCCACGTCAGGAAATTTGCTCGGCATACTATCACTGCTTCCAGGAAGAACATTTAAAGAATACTTAATATTGAACTTAGCTATTCTTATATTTTTATTTAAAATACAAGCCTAAAACGAATTATTAAGTCATTCCTTTACACTTTAAAGATTTGTATTAAAAGAACAGAGAACCATAGAAAAGTATGTTTTTTTGAAATATAAAACCAATGTACAGGAAACTTTAACATATTTTAAAGTAAAATGCAGGTAAAGGGCAAATCTTTGACTTGATTCATCCCCTTTGTGTTTCCTTAACACGGCTTTGTTCAACATGTGTTGCAGCTGAGTGATTAAGACGATCTGGTGTCATTTGCCGACTAGTTACAGCTCAGTTAAGTTCTTCACATGGTGCTGGGATTTCTCAAATTAATCAGAGAGGTAGCTATATCTTTAACCTTTGAGAAACTTAGCCCAGTTTTGTTCTGTGTCTATTTAACAATGAATTCGTAAAGCCTGTGCATCAGCCTTCTTGTTTCATTAATCACCTTCATCAGTCAGTCTGACAGAATAACCCAAATCCCTTCTGAGTGCTCAAAGCCCCCTGCTTCATTAGAAACATCTGCTTGTTTATTTCCTCCCACATCTTTGTGTGCAGTCGTGTTTGCCAGGTAACCCACCATGCGCTCACTCTCTCCTCTTCAACCTAAACCTGCATGCAAAACACAGAACAGCCCTTCTTATAAGACTTGGTGTGGTCATGTTTTCTCCGCCGGAGAGCATCCTCTGCTGTCGTCGTCATGGAGCAGGTTAATGCAATGTTTTTCTCAGACACAAAGGCTCGTCCCATTGCCAGTGACACCCCGGTGTGCACGTGGATGTGTGACGAGGGAGGAGGCAGAAAACAGGATTAGTGTCATCAGGATCTAAGCCTGAACAGATTGAGAGAAATAATCCTGCTGGACAGTATAGGACAGTTTACACACACGTTAAAAAGGAACAACATCCCATTATGTGGCTGTGTTGTATCGCTTTGTGAATGACACTGTCATTACTGTCCTTTTCTGCCAGAAGATGCTTCACATTAATGTGTTCAAAGTCTAAAGGTAAAATAAAATGTCATTTCTTTTTCTCACAGAATCCTCTCAGGATTTTTTTATGTGTACATGTCTTTTTCACATCTTTGACAAGCCGAAATTTTATTTCAAAGATTACGAACTTAGTGCTCACTTTCCTTAGTTTGCTGCTGGATTACTCTTACAAGACTTGTTCTTAGCAGATTATTTCTAAAATAATCTTTGCATAAATAAAAAAAATAATTTCTTTATCCTATCGGTGTGGATTAATGATTTCTGAGACTACTTGGATTAGTAACTCACTGTTGACAACATCATCTCTAATCTTTTCTTCATATTTGTGTTTTCACTTAAGGAAATATTGAAAAATTCTAAAAAATATTTATTTTAATATGTCCTTAACAACCATTTATGCCACTTTTGGTCATTTAAAATAACAATTGATCATTTATCTTATTTTATGTTAAAAACAAGCAAAAAAAAAAAAAGTATTCAACTTGATTTTGCTTGTGCATGTTCTTACCAGTTGAAAGGTGTTTTAACTGGGTTATTTTAGCGACTTCTGTCCAGACATTGTTCACCAATTTGTAATTATTGAAATAAGCAAACATGTTCTCTGTCATTGCTGTATGAAAACATTTGCATGTGCAACCTGTTTTCAGTTGTAATTTGCATATTAGAAAGAGGAACGCATGACACAACCACAAACATGTTTGGCAAAACAGCTCAGTGTCCAAAAGTCTACAATGCATATGCTAGAGAACTGTTTATAGAGTTTTACATGTGTATTTAGCTTTATTAAAATATATGTTTTAGAGACATTAAAAGAATGTCTAAAGGACATTCAGTGTCCTTCGGAGGACACTGAATGTGTCCTCTAAAGGATGTGACATTTTTCCTCTAAAAAAATGTCCCCCTTTTTTTTTTTACCTCTACCTCTATAAAACAGACAACAGAGAGAGATCACTTACTGCAGGAGTCAATAGGACAAAACAAACTCATTACTTAAGATAATAAATAATTCATTTAGTCTAACAATCAAATGAGAGCTGGTTGAAGAAGAAAATATTTTCAAACATCTTGGTACATAAAATTTACAGTAACACAATACTTGTATCTGTATCCTTAAGAAGTGCTCTTAGCACCTTTACTGGCTACACATGTTTAGCGATTTTGCAGCAAGGCAAATATTCTTGGATTCATGTAAAATGGTCGGGTAAAAAGCATTTTATCCTTCAGATTGTAAGGAATCTGTGCTATATCTACTGTTGTTCAAATAATTTCAAAACCACAGGCCTGTAGTCATTTAAGCCTGTGAGGGTGCAGTTCTTGGAGACCAGAATAATGGTGGACTGTTTGAAGCAAAAACCTCACACAGCTCCATGGACTTGTTGAAGATGGGATTTTGATTACCAATGAGATTGATTTTTTGGATATTAAAGTAAACTGAGCTG